TTGGGATCTGAGCTTCTGCACCAGGACAGAGTAAAAGAATAGTAATAGCAATACAACATGTTCTAGATGCTTTACTTTATGTACATTAACTAGTTTAATCCCCACGACCCTAAGAGAAAGGTCACTGTTACCATCATCATCACCTCCATTTTATAGACAGTAAATTAAGGCAAAGAGCTACTCGCCAGGTTCAATACCTGCTGACTGGCGCAGGTGGGAGAATACACACCATGCCGGGTGCTCAGCAAACGAGCAAGGGGACTCGGTCCAAAGCCTCAGGAGGGGTGGGGACGGTGGTAGAAGTGGCCTGTGCAGAGGACACCAGCTCCAACCCATTGTGGCAGCACGTGGGACTGCAGCCTCATGGTGGCAAGATGTTCTAATTTTCCAGAATAAACCAGACGTTTATGTGACCTCTCCTTGTTTCAAGATGGTGACTCAACTGTTATTTCAAATATCGGGCAGTCAAATAAAACACAGCATCATTCTAGAGCTCTAGGTGGGACCAGCTGCATACCTTGCAGGGCCCGGCGCAAAATGACAATGCAGGGCCCCTTGTTCAAGGGCTGAGAATTTCAAGCCGGCGACAGCAGAATGTTGAACCCAACACAGGTCCCTTCTGAGCACGAGGCCCCGTGCAAATGCCCAGGTTGCACGTGCGTGAAGCCAGCCTCCACCGTGGGCACTTCCTAATACCTGCTGAGTCAGATGGAAGCGAGGGGGAAAGGGAGGACAATGAGCAAAGATCCGGCACCTCCTATGCATCAGACGTCGCTTTACATTAATAAAATAGCGAACACTTGCGCAGCGCTCACCCCGCGCCGGGCGCCACGTGCGTTAGTGCATTTAAAGCTCACGCCGCCGGCACCAGAGGACGGGGCCACGGGGATTCCCGAGTACCAGATGCAGAAGTCGGGGCTTGGGGACACGAAGTCACGTGGCCCTTGCTAACAACACTCCAGAGGGCTCACCTGGGCTGGCCAGGGCTGCAGGGGAGCGAGGGGGGAAAGTGAGAGAGCGCAAGGCAAGGGGAAGAGGGGCACCCCAGGCCGACTCCCCAAGCTGGGCTGCGCTCAGGTCTCCGCCAAGACCGTGTGGAATCTGGGGAGGCCGCCGCACCCCCAGAAGGGCCCGTGGCATTTCTGAATCATGGTGCCATCCGCCCCGGGTTGGCTCCTCTCCGGCGATCCAATTACTAAATGTAGCCGCATTCTTTAAAAATGTCTTTCCTCTTATGTAATGCAATAGTGACAAACGCCAAACAGATGGTGCTGTGACAAGCTTTTTAAAAGTTGATTAGGAGCTCATCTTTCAAAATTAATGTGCGGGCATTTAAACGAGCTTCAGCCGGCCACAGAATCAGTGGAGGATCCATATGGGACAGATCGCTTGACGGACTGGCCGCGCTCACCTCCTCCCTGGCCAGGGCGCGGCGTGGCAGTTTGGGGAATGTTAACAGCTGGGGCAGGCTGACTTGCGAGCAACGGTCAGAAGACACCTGGCGTGGACAGAGAGGAGAAATGCCCTGGGCCTCCCCAAAGCCCGGGAAGCTGGAGCCTCCTCCATCCACCTTTTACCAGGACCTTTTCCCCAAACTTCTACATTGTCTTGGAGAGAGCTGGCCAGCCCTCCCGGCTCCCGGAGGGAGGCAGGTTAGTCACAAACTGTGTCAGCTGCTGCCAGCGAGCTGTTCCCCCCACACCCTTTCTTCCTCAGTGTTCAGGGATGAGATCATTGCATTTGGAGCCAATTATAGACGGAGAATGCTGGGGATGTGCAAAGAATCCTTCTCAGAGCCCTTCTCTCCCTCCTCACGGGCTGTTCCCTGCCGGGACAGGCAGGGACAGGAGACCGGTGTCCGGCCCCAGGCTCAGCCCCAGGGTGTGCATTCCTGAGCCTCGGCTTGGATCTGTCAAGCGAGGAGGCTGGGCTGTCAGCGAGATGAAGCCTGTTGGCCTCAGAAGTTCAGAGCTACATGAGCCCTTAGAGACCAGCACTGGTGGGGAAACTGAGGCTCAGAGAAGGGAAGCGGCTTGCTCAAGGTCCCTGAGCAAGTTGGTGGCAAAGCCAGAGAGGTGGATGGTAGCTTCTCCACCTCTCATGAGGAGGACGGCTTTTGTCTCGAATCTGCCCAGCCCCCACTCCTGCTGCCTCTGGTGCCTACCCCTGAGCTGTCCCTGGGGAGTTGTCCCTGCCCACTCACAGTCCAGGCGGCTCGAGTAGGACTGACCCCTCCCCCACTTCCAAGGATGCACACCTGCCCCAGCCCAGCCAATCAGAGCAGTCCACCCACCACCCTTGGTTCAGGAATATGAACCAGTGATGTGAGATGAGCCAGGTCACTAAGCAGCAACCTCAGGACTTCGGCTGAGGCTGAGGCCATCGGAAATGAGATGCTGTCTTCCCCTCAGTGATGCTGAACTGGGAGGAAGAAAGCCTAGCGCTGCTGGCAGCCATCTCTGCCAACACCAGGTATGTGCCTAAGAATGATGCCAACACAGCGGAGAGCAGGGCCAAAAGAAAGTGATATAACACCTTCAACCTTTAAACACCTGGATCCAGCCGTACCTGAAGGCAGCCCTATTCTGGATATTTTAATTACATGAGTCAATAAATTCACCTTCTTGCTAAAGTTGGTTGAGCTGAGTTCTGTCACTCATTCCCCAAAGGGCCTCGACTAATATAAAGACTCAAGGACCTTAGGTGTAGGGGGTGTAGGGCAACGCTCCAAACACCATATTGGGTGCTCTCTTCCTCCAACCCCAACACATCTCTGATCTGGTTTGTTTTTATTATTTTGTTTTTTAAGTACTGTCTGGATGGAGACAGCTCCCCCTCCCCAGAAGATTCTGAGTCCCTGCACAAGCTCCCGCACCACGCTGCAGAGGGAGCACCCAGGGTAAATGTCCCATTTCATGGGACCTAAGAGACGGCTCTGCCTTCCGGGGACCCAAGCTGTTCCCCACCACAGCCTCACTGGGTCAAGCGTGCAGGCTCTCCACTCCAATCATGAGTCCTTGGGCAAGTCGTTTGACTTTCCTGAGCCTCAGTTTCCCTATCTGTAAATGCAGAAAAGATCACCTGCCTTATAGGGCCTTTAAGGGGATTAGAGCAAGCACCACTATTTCGGGGCTGGGAACAACGGCAGCTACAGGGACTCCAGAAATTACGCGCCATGGACCTGGGCAGCCGTCAGGCACAGCCTGCCTGGGAAGACAGCACTACACACACAAACCGATTTCCGCATAAAACGGCCTCCTGTGGCTGTTCGGGGGCTGAGGCAGGAATGTCAGCTGCCGGGGAACCTGTCGCGGATGTGAGTCGGGCAGTCCCTTGCTCTCACCCCTCCGTTGCCCCTTTGCCCGGCTCCTCACCCCAGGCCGGCCACACAGGTGCTGCCGAAGTGCCCCCCAGTGGCTGCCTTGCACTCCCAGAGTGCAGGAACAGTGATTCCCGGAGCACCCAGAGTCCTGATTTAGGAAAGAGGATCGAGTAGCAGCGACCTTTGGGCCAGTTCCTGCCCAGTCCCAAGGGCAGATGAAAAATGACTCCCCTCCCCCAGCCAACAGCAGGGAGGCCTGGCGGAGGGCTTGGGCTGCGACCACCTGGCACAGTTCTTTATTTACCGGGGTGGTGCTTCCTGGAGTGACACATCTGAGACGGCTTCACCCAAGCCCAGGAGGCGGCATCGAATAATTGACTCCGGGGCTGATTCTTGCTACAAGATCAAGGAACCTGGAAAACACTGCGAAATGAAAGCAAGACCACACATATCGTGTGATTCCATTGCTGTGAAATGTCCGGAATAGGCAAATCCATAAAAACAGAAAAAGGCTAGAGGTTGCTGAGGGCTTGGGGGGTTGGAGGAATGAGAAGTGATTGCTAAGGAGCGCAGGGTTTCTTTTAGAGGGGGACAAAAATGCTCTAAAATTAGACCATGGTGATGGCTGTACAGTGTTTTGCACATACTAGAAAGGATTGAATTGTATACTTTCCATGGGTGAATGGTGTGGTGTATGAATTAGCTGTTAAAAAATATTAATAGCAACTCACTCCTAAGGGGAGAAAATTAGCCTCCTTTCAAATCTCTAATAATGTTTCTAATTTGCCCAGGAGCAAGACTCCATTGGATACTAGTTCCTCCTTACCCTCTACACTTGCTAATTTCTCGTTTGAATAAGGAACTGGGGGTTCAGGCTCAGCAGCTGGGGGTGGGGGGAACAACGATACCTAGCCAGACTTGTTTGGTTGCCATTGCATTTATTTTTCTGATTTTCTTCTTATATGGCTACTGATTATTCACTGATACATTCTTTTTTATTCAACAAATATATATTGAGCATTATTGTGTGTCAGGCACTGTTTTAGGCCCAGAGACACACAGACCAAAATCCCTGCCCTTGTGGAGCTGACATACTAGTGCAGGGAACCTAAGCAGTAGGCGCAATGGGTGTATGTAGTTCATGAGTTCGAATCCCCACTCTGCCAGGCACTGGCTGTGCAACCTCAGCCACGTGGCCTAACCTCTCTGAGCCTCAATTTCCTCACCTGTAAAATGGGGATAATAATCGCTCCTAACTCAGGACGCAGTAAATCAATAAGTGTAAAGGGCAGAGACAGAGCTTGGCACTCTGTAGGTGCTTAATAAGTGTTTGCTATTATTAGTAGTAGTAGTATTAGTATTATTGAGACAGAGTCTCACTTTGTTGCCCAGGCTAGAGTGAGTGCCATGGCGTCGGCCTAGCTCACAGCAACCTCAAACTCCTGGGCTCAAGTGATCCTGCTGGCTCAGCCTCCCAAGTAGCTGGGACTACAGGCATGCGCCACCATGCCCGGCTAATTTTTTCTATATATATTAATTGGCCAATTAATTTCTTTCTATTTATAGTAGAGACGGGGCCTCGCTCTTGCTCAGGCTGGTTTCGAACTCCTGACCTCGAGCAATCCGCCCGCCTAGGCCTCCCAGAGTGCTAGGATGACAGGCATGAGCCACCTCGCCCGGCCATGCTATTTATTTTCATTTATAATGGTGATAAAATGTTTCCTGTTTAAGCACACATACTTAAGTATAAGTTTTCTTTTAAAATAAATTTATTTAAGTAAAAAAAAAAAAAGTGGAGAGGGGGTTGGAGAGTCAACTTAACAACTTAAGTGCACAATAAGGAGAAGAGGGCAAAGGCCAGAGGCTGTTCCGATGAGATCTGGGAAGTCCTGGACTGGCAGGACACATTAGCAGGGCTGGGACTCAGCCCGCGCTTAGCGGGACCCTAAAGCTACTTTCAGTGTCAACATGACGACAAGGCCTTTTCCTGCAGTCTCAGAATCGCAGCTGGCTCGTCCCTCGGTTCCTGCCCCCTCGGGAGGCTTCGGGAAGAGGGCCAGGACGGCTGGGGACCAGACGCTAGATGAAGACGAGGCTGTGGACGGCGGGGCAGGAACAATCCCGCAGCTGCCCCAGCCTCTCCCAGGCCCCTCGGCACCGGGGGTGGCCGGCCGCCTGCCACAGCGACACCTTGTTCCTGCAAGAGACGGGCGGTTCAGGGAATGGCAAGGTCCTGGGCTGCAAGGACACGTGCCTCTGGGGCCCTTCCTCGGTTTCTGTGCATCGGATCAAGACAAACACATCCAGGCTGGGCTCCTCATTAGACACATGTTATCATTTTTATTATTAAAGGTTTTTTTTCTTCTGGTTTTTAAAAGAAATTGAAATTAAAATGGTTTTGTGGGCCCTGGGGGAAGTCAGCCTCGGGATGGCCACAGAGCCACCGACCCTCAGAGGCCACAAGGGGCGATGCAGAGTCCGCTCTGAGGCTCCGGGGAGGTGGTGCCATCACGCCCTTGCTGGGCAAACCTGGGCAAGTTGGTTAACCTCTCTGTGCCCCCTTTCCCTCCTCTGCTGGGAGGCAACAGAGTGGAGTGGCTAAGAACACAGGTTCCAGCACATCAGGTGGGGTTTGCCACCCGCTCCCAGGGGCCTCCACCTCCTCAGTGAAAAAAACAGATATCAATAATCTCCTCCCCTCTGAGGTGTTGGGCAGGTTATATGAGATGCTATGTGCAGAGAAAATAAAAATGACAATAATAATAACAGTGAACCATTTCCGCAACAAGAATAAACACTCTAATGCTACAGATGCAACCACATGGGTGAACTTGCAAACCTCATGCTGAGCAACATTCCAAAGGGCACCCCCTGCATGATTTTGTTAATGTAAAGTGGGGGGCGATTAAGCCAAAGTGTTTAGGGGTCTGCAGCGAGCAGAGTAATGCTCTAAAGGAAACTGCACAATGGATTACCACGAAAGTCAGGACGGTGGCTTCCTTCATGGGGAGGGGAGGGGCTGAGGTTAGGAGGGGACCCGAGGGGATCTGGGGGGCTAGCCGGGTTCTGTTCCTTGCCTGGGAAGTGACTACCCAGGTGTGTCTCCTTCCCAAACGTGTGTTAACCTGTTCATATATATTTTTAGCCAATTTTCTGTAGACATAATTCAAATCTTTAAAATATAACAACACCCCAGGTAGATTGTAGTGGCATGATCATAGCTCACAGCAACCTCAAACTCCTGGGCTCAAGGGGTCCTCCTGCCTCAGCCTCCCAAGTAGCCGGGACTATAGGCATGTGCCATGACGCCAGCTAATCTTTCTATTTTTAGTAGAGACGGGGTCTCGCTCTTGCTCAGGCTGGTTTTGAACTTCTGAGCTCAAGCGATCCTCCCGCCTCGGCCTCCCAGAGTGCTAGGATTACAGGCGGGAGCCACCGTGCCCGGCCAGCTATCATAAGCTTCTAAGCACCGCACCCGGCACATGATAAGTGCTTCATAAACGGTGGCACTTAAAGTTACTATTATTATCACCATTGTCATTACATAAAATGGAATTAACGTCCTGTCCCTTGTCTCAAAAGGGCTTGGGAGGCCTGAGAATACTCGTGTACAGCACCTCCTTGGTGCCCAGCACACGGTGGGTGAGTGGCTCATGGCAGGTGTTCCCCTGCCTGTCCCAAACTCAGTCACTTCCCGGGGTGAATAAACCCTCCTACAATCCCAGCGGACACGCTCACCCCCTCCGGGCCCATGCCCTCTCCGTGCCTGCTCTCGCCAGCTGCCCACGGAAAGAATCCGGCTGACAGCTCCTCTCTCTCCTCGCTTTGATCCGCCCGCTCTGCCCGGCCCTTCCTGGTGAGCTCATGCCCCGTCGGACCTCCCGTCACCTGCTCTGTGGGCCCGGGCGGGGGCGGGCAGAGCTGCCTCTGTGACACAGCCCTGGCTGTCTCTCCGCTCCGTCCCAAACCCGATGGAGGCAGGGGTCTCTGCGGCCCCCACCTCAGCCTCACGAAAGCGCCATGTATTTGCAGAGGCCAGAGTGTTTGCATCTAAAGAGAAATTTGGGATTAATCCGAGTCTTAAGGCTAGAAAGGTTTATCCTAAAATGGGTGGATAAGCTGGGGCTCTAAGAAGTCAGCACCTAGCCTATCCCAAAGAATGAATCTCTAATAGTGGCATCTCAGGTCTAAGACAGGTACGTGGCAGAGAGGTTGGAATGGCGCTGGCAGCAAGGGCCACCCTACAGCGTGATAATATTGTCGGACATTTACACTTGATCTTAGCCAAAAGGCTGAGAAGTGATAATATTATTGGACATTTATTTATTGGGCACCTCCTATGTGCCAGGCTCCTCACACCATTGTGTCTCATCTTCACAGAGCAGACTTTGTTACGTCTATGCAGATTAGACATGATGACAGCAGCTACCATCACTAACCCTTTGCACTCGGATGTCGAGTGTGGATAATGTCGAGTGGATACTGAGAAAAAGCAAGCGCGTGCAAAGGGTTAAGTATCCACAGGGGGTCAGGTGCTGTGCAAAGGGCTCAGGATCCTTCCCACAATCCTACGTGGTGGGGACGATCAGAGTCAGGTGGAGGCCTGGCCCAGCGTCACACGGCTGGTAAGGGACAGAGGTGGAATTTGAACCCAGACCTGTGCAGCCCCCAGGCCTCTTGTCCAGATCCGTCTGTTCCTATCGCCCCACCTGGGTGCCCTGCTCCAGGTGTGCAGCAGGCGGGACAGCTGAATTTTAAAAGGAAGCAAATCCTCACGGCTGTCTCCGCAAGAAAAGGGGCCACAGCTGCCTTGCCCACTGCAGTCCCCCAGTGCCCAGGACACCGCCTGGAACATGCTCCGTAACGAGTGCTCAGCAAACACGAATGAATGAATATAAAAAGCTTAGAATAATTCCCAGCTCAGAGTAAGCACTCAGTGTTTGCTATTGTTATAATCAGTATGTGAAGCGCTTTCTGAGAGGCCCCGACCTGTGGGAGCAGCCTGGGGGGCTGATGTAAGCCAAATCTGGGTCAAACCCTGCTGTGTGACCTTGACGAAGTCACACCGCCTCTCTGAGTTGGTTTCCCCATCTATAAAATGAGAGCCACCAAACTTGGCCTTTAAGGGACTTGCAAGCATTTAATGATGAGGCCAGCTCACTTTTCCTGAGTGCTTTCTGCTAAGTGCTAAGTGCTAAGTGCTCGGCTTGCACAACCTCACTTAGTCCCCACCCCTGCCCCATGAGGAGGCCCCTTGTTATCTGCACGTTCAGATGAGGCCCTTGGGCATCAGATAGGCTATGCGATTTGCCCAGGGTTACACTGCTGGCAGCGGCAGAAGCTTGGCTCCTAACGGGCTGGTCTGCTCGGGCACCAGCACCAGGACCCCGCTGGGCCCCGCCCTGGCCAGGGAGCAGCATCTCTCTCCTGGGGCGCCGCCTCGGGCAGCAGAGAAGCCCCAGGCTCTACGGTCACACCCACCCTTGCCGAGTCCCGCAGCTCACCCTCTGGCCTCACCGCCGTCCCCGTAGCAGCGCCGGCTCCTGGCGTCCTGGGCAGGCCATTCACACTTCACACAGACCGTGTGGCCCTGGGTCAGATACCTTGTCCACTGGGCGTGGGGTGCCTTCACCTGCCCACAGCTCCCTGGAATGGGCCCCAGTCGGAACCGGACGCAGTACCTGCAGCCGCACAGGCAGACACCAGCCCAAGCACCGTGAGCATTTATGGCCCTTCCCGTGCACCCAGCCCCGGCTAGGCCCAGGTGGGTGCAGTTTCTCCCTGATCCAGAAGCCTTGTGGGCAACTCGATTCGCATCAACATGTTGCACACAACAAGACTCAGCTCCCACTTTCAAAGTTAACAGCATTGAGGGCTCGCCACGTGCCAGGCAGGTGTTCTAAGCACTTTTCCCAAAAGGCTACATATTCTATTTCTCCTCTGTCTCCTCGATTAGAATCCCAGCTCCAGAAAAGTGAGAATTTTCATTTGTTCTGTTTACCGTTGGGTCTAACTCCTGGAATCGTACCTGGCTCAGCAAAAATTCGCTGACAAAATCATTTGGTCCAATGGAATAGGGAACCCCGCAAGGCAGGTGTTGCCCCAGCTTGCAGATTAGGAAACTGAGGATCAGAGCGACAGCTCACCCAAAGTCACCCAAAGTCATAAGTGGTGGTGCCTGAAATGGAACCACTTAAACTGAAAAAAGCCTACATGGATACTGTTAGGCACCCCCTTACATTTGTCAAAAGATCCCATTTTTAAAAGTATTTACCATGAAGCTGGTTTAAAAGGGAAGCTCCCCATTCTAGAGAGGGGAGAGATACAATGAACAATATTTGGGTGATGGGCACTCTTATAACCATGACTCAAGCATGATAAAAGCAATGCGTGTAACCAAAATTATTTGTATCCCATAATAATCTGAAATAAAAAGAGAGAAAAAAGTTATTCAAAATTAGTGCTTTTAAAATTTTTGAAAATATTTTCAACAACAATTAAAATTTTTAAAAAATAGAGTGGGGAGAGCTTATTTCTTATTCTGAAATAAGACCCAATTTGCCAAAATTTTACTTCTACCCAACTTTTCCTACAAGTAGCGGTAAATAGCACCCCCTGCTGGAAGAGCCGCGGCTTGTCAAGGATGCAGGGGTGACGCCGTGTGGACCTGCTGCCCCCTGGTGGCTGCAGCCTCTGGGAGGCCCGATTTGCCCACAGCCTGCTTCTTCCAGGGACAGCCCCCAAACCTGTGCCCGGTCCCCTCCGCTCTGGGCTGCCCCCATAACTCCTCAGGAATCTGTCCCCTACCAGGAGCCTGTGACAACTGGAAATTCTGTCTTCCCAACACATTTTCTCTTCCCGTTTTGGTGGTTCATTTGGGGGAATCTCGCCCTCATCCTAGGAGGTCTTGGAGGGGCAATGGATCAGGGTGCCTGGTCCTGGCCCCAGGCCCGCCACTAGAGTGGGCAGGTGATTGGAGTTGACCAATCAGAGTCCTCCATCTTCGGGGGCACAGCGACGGGCTCAGGGTGGGCTGAGGATCCAGGCAGGACCAACCAGAGTCTCCTCCTGAAATGATGCTCTGAGACTGGAGACAGGACACCTTTGGGGCTGCTGAGCTGTGAGCCTGTGGGGCTGCTGCTCCCCACAACATCCCCAAGGTGACCATCTTGGCCACTCCAGGGACACAGCCTGCAGTGGCCAACCTGGAGAATGAAACCAATCCACGGCGAGAGTGAGGGAAATGGAGAGAACGAGAGCAGATCCCAACATTAGGCGCGCTCTGGGCGCCGGCCATGCTTGAGATGACCCTGTTTCAGAACTTCCTTCCCAGTTATGGAAACCAACAATTCTCCTTTGCACTTGAGGCAGCTGGAGCTGAGGTTCTGCCACTCGCAATCAGAAGACTCCTAACTCACATGGTTGTCCTGTCCCTCTCCATTGCCGCTGGCTCCGTTCGGGCCTTGTCTTTCAACCGATGTTTTCTGAGTACCTATCACGTGCCAAGCATCATCCTAGACGCTTGACCTCATCGCCACCACCCTGCAATGTGCTGGTCTGTCCCCAGTCCCTGCGGCCCGCCCTTCAGAGGGCAAGAGGGCTGCCACCTGGTGCAAACCACCTTCGCCTCCCACCTGGACCACTGCAGTCACCTCCTCACTGGTCTCTGGCTTCTCCCCTTGCTTCCTGCAATCTGCTTTCTCTCCACCCAGCATCCGAAGGGGGCCTGTGAAAACCCAAGTCAGATCCCGTCACTCCTCTGCTCAGCATCCTGCCATGGGCCGGGCGCGGTGGCTCACGCCTGTAATCCCAGCACTCTGGGAGGCCAAGGCGGGTGGATTGCTCAAGGTCAGAAGTTCGAAACCAACCTGAGCAAAAGCGAGACCCCGTCTCTACTAAAAATAGAAAGAAATTAATTGGCCAACTGATATACATAGAAAAAAATTAGCCAGGCATGGTGGTGCATGCCTGTAGTCCCAGCTACTCGGAAGGCTGAGGCAGCAGGATTGCTTGAGCCCAGGAGTTTGAGGTTGCTGTGAGCTAGGCTGATGCCACGGCACTCACTCTAGCCTGGGCAACAAGTGAGACTCTGTCTCAAAAAAAAAAAAAAAAAACAAAAGAATCCTGCCACGACTCTCCATGTCATTAGAGAAAGTGCCCAACTCCTTACCACAGCCTACAAGCCCTCTGTGATCTGCACCTCCCAACCTCCATTATCTTTCTGACCTCATTTCCTACTCTCTCACTCTTTCTGCGCTCCAACTACACTGGCCTTGCCGATCCTCGAACACACTAGGCACACCCTGCCTCAGGACCTTTGCACTTGCTGTTCTCTCTTCCAGACATGCTTTTCCCCCAGAGAGCCTCCTCCAGATCTTAGTTCAACTGTCACCTTCCCAGTGAGGATGTCCTGACACCCCCACTCCCTTCCCTGCTTTATTTTTCTTTATTTTCTTTTTTTTATTTATAGCACCTAGCAGCATCCAACATGTTATCTATTTGTTTGTTGTATTCCTCCTCCCACTAGAGTGTCCATTCAATAAGGGCAAGTATTTCTGTCTTTTTTTGTTCCTTGCTGTAACCCCAAGGCCTAATACAGCGCCTGTCCTGTTGTAGGCATTCAATAAATGTTGAATGAATGAAGTTGAATGGAGACCAATATTTGAGGACTTTAAAATCCATGTTCATGAGATTATAGATGTAACAGGGTAAGAAATTGAAGTTATCAAAGTCAGAGAGAGACAATAACAAAGGAAATTTAGTTCAGAGAAAAATGCTCATGAATTTCAGTTAGACCTTGGGCTCACTGGCTTCCACTTACCCTCCTGCGGCCTGCTTCCTGGGAACACCTCGCTTCCCCCGCTCTTTGCCGTAGCTGCCAGTGGTTACCAGAGCAGGGACTGTGGACCAAGGAGAAGACAGTTAGGCAGGACAGCACCCCAGGCTATGGCACCATGGGACACCAGGGCCGGGTACCCCTGGCATCCGAGTCACTTACTTGACAGCCCAAATGAGACTGTGGAATCTCAGAACTGGGCAGGTGGTCCCCACAGAATCCTTTACAGTGTTGGAGGTGGGATCGTATTTATCTCCAACACCTCAGGGCCTGGTGCATGCAACACATGCACGCCTGGTCCATGGCGGGTCTCAAAAACAACTGTTTGAATGATTCAGTGAATGAATGAGTGAGTGATTAGGAAAGAGTAGATAAGAGCTGGGCAGGGTGGCATGCACCTGTAGGCCCAGCTACTCAGGAGGCTGAGCGGGAAGGATCTCTGGAGCCCAGGAGTTGGAGGCTGCAGTGAGCTATGGTCCACCACTGCACTCCAGCCTTGGTGACAGAGTGAGACCCTGTCTCAAAAAAAAAAAAAAAAAAGAGTCAATAACTAAATGAATGGCTATGGATGGCTGAAATGATGGAAGAAAGAATGGATGGATGGTGGATAAATGGGAAGATGGGAGGATGGAAGGAGAGAGAGATGAGTAGAAGAATGGACAGAGAGATGATGAATGGAAAGAAGGATGGATGGAGAGTTGACAGGTGAATGGATGAAATGGATAGATGGATGGATGGATAGATGGATGGATTGATGAGTGAGTGGATGGAAAGATGGATGGGTAGAAGAAAGGAGGTTTGGGGGATGGACTGACGATGAATAAATGAATGAATAAAATTATTCTATTGGGCCACATTCCAAGTCTCTTTCTTTCTAGATCAGAGAACATAGAGGAGGAAAATTGATAGTTCACAAGAGGTTGGTGATTCCTTAGGAAAATTAAAAAGCCATCGGAAGTCTCTACCCCTTCCCATTCCTAGAGTGATTGAGCTGAATTAAAGATTTAGTGTTGAGCTAATGCTTGTGACCTAAAGGAGACCACACCAGGGCATCCCAGCCCCCTGTCCCTGCTTCTACCACAGGGACAGGACTAAGCCTTTGTCATAACACACCGAATACCCAGCCTCCTTCCCTTGTCTCTTCCCATAGCCACAGTGCTCCTTTTTTTTTTTTTTTTTTTTTTTTTTTTTTTTTTTATTGAGGGACAATTGGGAGAAAATTATTTCTTAATTAGTCACGTCAGTAGTGAGTTTTTTAAATTTGTTTATTTCTTGGTTATAATATTATATTTGTGATATTATCAAATTTAAGTTAACATAATCTTTCACCTTTATCAGTATGAAGAACTAGATGTAGTTATATCTAAAGCCCTTTTACTAGAATACAGCCCAATTTCCTCACTGTAAAATGGGATAATAATCGCTCCTAACTTCAGACGAGTAATCAATACAGTGTTAAAAGGCAGAGACAGAGCTTGGCACTCTGTAGGTGCTGTAATAAGTTTTTTGGTTTGCTATATTAGTAGTAGTAGATTGTATTATTGAGACGAGTTCTCACTTTGTTGCCCAGGCTAGAGTGAGTGCCATCGGCGTCGGCCTAGCTCACAGCAACCTCAAATCCTGGGCTCAAGTGAATCCTGCTGGCTCAGCCTCCAAGAGCTGGACTACAAGGCATGCGCCACATGCCCGGAATTTTTTCGTATATATATTGAATTGGCCAATTAATTTCTTTCGTATTTATAGTATAGACGGGCCTCCGCTCTTCTCAGGCTGTTTCGAAATCCTGACCTCGAGCAATCCCCGCCTAGGTCCCAGGAGTGCTAGATGAAGCATGAGCACCTCGCCGCCTGCTATTTTTTCTTTATAATTGTGATAAATGTTTCCTGTTAAGCACACATACTTAAGTAAAGTTTTCTTTTAAAGATTAATTTTAAGTAAAAAAAGTGGAGAGGGTTGGGAGAGTCAAACTTAACAACTTAAGTGCACAATAAGAGAAGAGGGCAAAGCCAGAGCTGTCGATGAGATCTGGGAAGTCCTGACGGCAGGACACATAGCAGGTGCTGGGACTCAGCCCGGCTTAGCGGGGACCCAAGCTATTTCAGTGTCAAACATGACGACAAGGCCTTCCTGCAGGTCTCAGAATCGCAGGGCTGGCTCGTCCTCGCGTTCCTGCCCCCTCGGGAGGCCGGGAAGAGGGCCAGGGACGGCTGGGGACCAGGACGCTAATGAAGACGGGTGTGGACGGCGGGGGCAGGAACAATCCCGCAGCTGCCCAGGCCGTCTTCCCAGGCCCCTCGCACGGGGGTGCCGGCCGCCTGCCACAGCGACACCTTGTTCCTGCAGAGAGACGGGCGGTTCAGGGAATGGCAAGGTCCTGGGCGCAAGGACGTGCCTCTGGGGGCCCTTCCTCGGTTTCTGTGTCGGTCAAGACAAACACATCCAGCTGGGCTCCTCATTAGACAATGTTTCATTTTTATTATTAAAAGTTTTTTCTCTGGTTTTTAAAAGAAATTGAAATTAAAATGGTTTTGTGGGCCCTGGGGGAAGTCAGCTCGGGATGGCCACAGAGCCACCGACCCTCAGAGGCCACAAGGCGATGCAGAGTCCGCTCTGAGGCTCCGGGGAGGTTTGGTGCCATCACGGCCCTTGCTGGCAAACCTGGCAAGTGGTTAACCTTCTCTGTGCCCCTTCCCTCCTCTGCTGGATGGCAACAGAGTGGATGCTAAGAAAACAGGTTCCAGGCACATCAGGTGGGTTTGCCACCCGCTCCCAGGGGCCTCCACTCCTCAGTGAAAAAACAGATATCAATAATCTCCTCCCCTCTGAGGTGTTGGGCAGGTTATATGAGATGCTATGTGCAGGAAAATAAAAATGACAATAATAATTAAACAGTGAACCATTTCCGCAACAAGAATAAACACTCTAATGCTACAGATGCAACACATGGGTGACACTGCAAACCTCATGCTGAGGCAACATTCCAAAGGCACCCTGCAATGATTTTGGTTAATGTAAAGTGGGGGCATTAAGCAAAGTGTTTAGGTCTGCAGCGAGCAGAGTATTGGTCTAAAGGAAACTGCACAATGTTTACCACGAACAGTCAGGACGGGGCTCCTTCATGGGGAGGGAGGGGGCTGATTAGGAGGGGGACCGAGGGGATCTGGGGGGCTAAGCCGGGGTTCTGTTCCTTGCCTGGGAATGACTACCCAGGTGTGTCTCCTTCCAACGGGATGTTTAACCTGTTCAATATATTTTTAGCCAATTTTCTGTAGACATATTCAAATCTTTTTAAAATATAACAACACCCCAGGTAGATTGTAGTGCATGATCATAGTCCACAGCAACCTTCAAAACTCCTGGGCTCAAGGTCCTCTGCCTCAGCCTCCCAAGTGAGCCGGGACTAAGGCATGTGCATGACGCAGCTAATTTTCTTATTTTAGTAGAGGACGGGTCTCGCTCTTGCTCAGGCTGGTTTTGAACTATCTGAGCTCAAGCGTCTCCCGCTCGCTCCCAGAGGTGCTAGATTACTACAGGCGGGAGCCACCGTGCCCGGCCAGCTATCATAGCTCTCTAAGCACCGCCGCACATGATAAGTGCTTCATAACGGTGGCAATTAAAGTTTACTTTTTATACCATTGTCATTACATAAAATGGAATAACGTCCTGCTCCTTGTCAAAGGCTTGGGAGCCTGAAATACTCGTAGTCAGCACTCCTTGGTGCCAGCACACGCGTGGGCCTGAGTGGTCATGGCAAGTTCCCCTGCCTGTCCAAACTCAGTCCTTCCGGGGTGAATAAACCCTCCTACAATCCCAGCGGACACGGCTACCCCCTCCGGGCCCATGGCCCCTCTCCGTGGCCTGCTCTCGCCAGCTGCCCACGGAAGAATCCGGGCTGACAGCTCCTCTCTCGTCCTCGCTTTTGATCCGCCGCTCTGCCCGGCCCTTCCTGGTGAGGCTCATGCCCCGTCGGACCTCCCGTCACCTGCTCTGTGGCCCGGGCGGGGGCGGGCAGAGCTTGCCTCTGTGACACAGCCTGGCTTGTCTCTCCGCTCCGTCCACAACGATGGAGGCAGGGTCTTGCGGCCCCACCTCAGCCTCACGAAAGCGCCATTGTATTTGCAGAGGCCAGCAGGTTTTGCTCTAAAGAGAAATTTGGGATTAATCCGAGTCTTAAGGGCTAGGAAGGCTTATCCTAAAATGGGTGGATAAGCTGGGGCTCTAAGAAGTCAGCACCTAGCCTTATCCCAAAGAATGAATCTCTAATAGTGGCATCTCAGGTCTTAAGGACAGGTACGTGGCAGAGAGGTTGGAATGGCGCTGGCAGCAAGGGCACCTACAGCGTGATAATATTGTCGGACATTTACACTTGATCTTAGCCAAAAAGGCTGAGAAGTGATAATATGTATTGGACTTTATTTATTGGGCACCTCCTATGTGCCAGGCTCCTCAACCATTGTGTCTCATCTTCACAGAGCAGACTTTGTTACGTCTATTCAGATTAGACATGATGACACGCAGCTACCATCACTAACCCTTTGCACTCGGATGTCGAGTGTGGATAATTGTGAGTGGATATGAGAAAGCAAGCGCGTGCAAAGGGTTAAGTATCCACAGGGGTCAGGTGCTGTGCAAAGGGCTCAGGATCCTTTCCACAATCCTACGTGTGGGACGATCAGAGTCAGGTGGGAGGCTGGCAGCGTCACACGGCTGGTAAGGGGACAGAGGTGGAATTTGAACCCAGACCTGTGCAGCCCCAGGCTCTTGTCCAGGATCCGTCTGTTCCTATCCCCCACCTGGGTGCCCTGCTCCAGGTGTGCAGCGGCGGGACAGCTGAATTTTAAAAGAAGCAATCTCACGGCTGTCTCCGCAAGAAAAGGGCCACAGCTGCCTTGCCCATGCAGTCCCCCAGTGGCCCAGGACACCGCCTGGAACATGCTCCGTAACGAGTGCTCAGCAAACACGAATGAATGAATATAAAAAGCTTAGATAATTCCCAGCTAGAGTAAGCACTCAGTGTTTGCTATTGTTATAATCAGTTATGTGAAGCGCTTTCTTGAGAGCCCC